TTTTTTTTTTTTTTTTTTTTTTTCCCCCCCACTAGATGCCGTGCTGCCTTGATCCATCCAATCCAAATGCCATGTACTCACAAGGGAGTTTTGACTTTTTTTTTTCCTGGAGTCAGACTCTCCAGCCCTAGCTTTCCCCCTCTTACTTTACCATCTTGTTGTTGGTATAATGCTTCTGCTATTTGGAATACATTTTGCGTAGGTGTTGCCTCAATTATATCAACACCTTTTTTTTGTATTTTGTTTGTTTTGAGGGTTTTTTTTGCCATGTTTAAAAAAAAACAACCTTTCTTGTCTATATTCCACTTAATTTCTATTACCTTTTACCTCTTATTTTGTAGCATCCAGTTTTGCACATTTCAAATTAAGGTCATAATAAGGTCATTATCATGCCACCTTTGTTTATCAGACAAGGGAATGTTAAGATCCAGGGCTAATGCTTTATTGCATGGGTGTCAAATTCATTTGGCCACATGAGTGGTGCAGAACTAGTCCACATACTGGCCCCACATTCCAGCATGTCATGAAGCACCCAGAGTGGGTGCTGCCTGCAGCCCAGTCCTGCTTTTAGCTGTTGCCAGGGCTGTGTCAAATGGCTCTGGAGCTTCATGCAGCCAGTCCAGGATGTGACCTGAAACAGATACTGTGTTGGGCATGCAGGGCCATCTGCATCTCGCATGGTGCCCGTGGTTTGCTCTGAGACCCTCAGGTAGCATTGGGGAGCCAGATGATGGGGTTCCCTGGGGCAGCAGGTCATTTTTTGACATCCCTGCTTTATTGTATTGCCTTTTTTCAGTAAACAGTGTTGCTGAGAAGTTTGAGCAACCCATTTAAAGGTGTGATAATCCCTGCTTTACTTCAGGGTGGATTTAGTTTTCCATATAGATTTTTATTACATATGCATTTTTTTTCTGTTACAGGCTAGATGGAAAACACGTTGTTTTTGGCTATGTAAAGGAAGGAATGGAAATTGTAAAGAAAATTGAGGGTTTTGGCACCAAGAGTGGAAAGACCAACAAAAAGATTGTCATTACAGATTGCGGCCAGTTGTCATAAACTTTTTCATGTAGCTCAGGGGAACTTGGATGCTGTGAAGAAAAATGATGAAGAAAGTATTTCTGATCTCACTTGGGGTCATTTAATTGCTGATGTGAAACATTCTTCCGATCGTTCAGTATGATTGAATATACCCTGATAAAAGTAGAAATTTCAGACATTCTAACAAAGATCTCTGTACCTTATTATAGAACAGAGCTAGAGGGTTCATATTTTTTTTATTTTAAAATGGGTACAAGTTAATATTTATAGATTATTTATAAATGAACAAGAGATCTTAAATTATTAACTTTTTAAAATAACCTGGTATCATAGCAGTTATCAGGTCAAGCTTGACAGTGTGCTGAACTTCAATTATCCAGTGCTGTACATGACAGCAATATGAACACCAATTTTGCCATAACTCAAGAACTGTAAGAAGTCTGTCACAATTATCTTGTGGTTGACCTGACTACTAGCATGATGAGTGCTTGTACCCTTCTCTGTTTCAAATAAATGTGAATTTAGCATTCTGTTGATTATAGTGAGGTGCTATGAAAAATTAACTTTTTCAGGCATTCGGATGAGTAATATAGTAAAGTATAGTGTCATTATTTTCTCTTAAGTGGGGATCAAATGGATCAAATTCTGCATTAATTTGAATTAAAGATTGCCATGTTTCACTGATATTTCAGTTCTGCCTGGATGCAAGCTCAGTCATGTTGAATGTGCATGCACAGGTTAACATACTGTCTCTGTAATAGCAATGGTTAGAATGTCCTTTCTGAAGAAGAGAGCCAAACTTGCAGTGCAGCTTAAATCTGTGGAATTGATGACGGGTTTTCTTTTTTTTATTCCTTCTGTTAAGATATTGTCTCAAAATTAATTGATTGAAATTGACTTCTAAACTTACTAAATGAGTTTGGGTTGTAAGAACATCACCATCACTCCTCCTAGTTTGCTTGATTTTTTAAAAACCACAAATCAACCAAAACTGATCAATGGAGGCTTCCATAGAGCAACTGTGAACTAACTTGAAATTCAGTTCTATTCTGAAACCACAATATGCCATGACCTTCCTCAGGACATACATTTCTTTGTGTATTCAGGAGTGTACCTACTCATTCAAATGGCAAATACGCTTTGCTGATTTCGTTTGTTTTGTTTTATTTTTGATCTGTTGACCCTGCAGAGCCAACTGAGTTTGGGACATTAGGTGGATTCTGTCTTCCAGTGCATCATCATTAGAAGTAAAAATCAGTCACTCAAGGGTCATATGGGGACCTAATCGGATCCATGCTCATTATTGCTGGGGCTGATGCTTCAAAAGGAAAAATCCGTCTGGATTGATAAGGGTAGCAAGGGTTTGTAGGGTTGGCTGAAAGCAATTGCAGCTGTTTTACTTCACCGGAACATCTGGTATGGACTCATTGAGCAATAATGAACAACAAACCTTGCAATGCTGTCTTTAAGAATCTCTTTAGCCGCTAAATACAAAACTATTGGGAAATTACATTGGTACTTGGTATGATAATTTTATTAATTAGGAACACGAAAAAATGTGAAGGCTTTTTATTTATGTATTCTTTTGTTTTTTTTCCTCCCAAATGTGAATTTACTACCAGGATATCACGGCTAAACTGGGTTTAAAAATAATGCATCTTGCACTAGACCTCATTGCGTGTGTGTGTGTGCGTGTGTGTGTGTATGTGGTTTGTTTGTTTGCTTTTGTTTTTTGTTGTTTTGTTTAATTCACTGAAGGTCACTGACACTTGCATGCGATGGTATTTCAGGTTATAATATTACATAAAATGGAACTGAGCAGTTTTTATTTTTCTTCCCCTTTGCAGTTTTTTAACATTTAATTTTAGCTATTTTGACATGTTCAGTATTGATACAAAAATGAGATTTGTCTTCCCTCAATTTTGTATGTGAAAAATCATTAAATATCACTTCATAAAAATCGACTGCCCATTTCTTTCACAAGTGCAATTTCAATTATTGATTGAAAATAGGCATATGAAGTAGTGAAATCTCAGTAGCATTGACTGCATTTATGGCTGTTGGAGGTTGTATTGCTCTCTAATTCTCCTTCACAAAGATCTAAACTGTTGGTAGGTGGAGCTGCCACTTTCATTCCTTAAACACCTAGAGCCACAAAACAAATGTAACAATGATGTGACTTGGTAATACATTTTTAAAATTTACTTGGGGCTGCTGATAGTTGGCTGACTTTTGATACTCTGTTCTCTTGATACTTGTCTCTGCTCAGTATATTAACTGCTGACTTATAAAGAGGAAAGGCATGGGAGTTAAAGAGATATTGTCTTTCTTCTCCAGTTCCTCTAGCAAAGATAGGCAGTATTGTATGTCTTGACTTAATAATGGGGAGAGGTGATATTGTGGGTTTTTGCTGGTGTGTAAGTGGAAGAAGATGCCAAGTTCACATTACCTTTACTTCACTAGAATACTACCCTAGTTATATAGGGGCTGTCCTATGACATGTTTTGCCATAAAGCACTTGCTTGTGCAACACTAAGGCCTGCATACTGAGCCTTGAACTAACAGATGTCTATTTTTGTGCTTGGTGTATAAGTAACAGTGGTTTGCAACCACTTTGCAGGTGATGTCAACTTTCATCTCTGATATCGAAACTAAAATTACCTTCCAGAAAGGCATCCCTCCTCTGGAAGATGGTCACAGCTGGAGAATTTTAGCAATTCTTTTGGAGGTCTTTTCTAATAGCTCATTGTCCTTGCTTCTACAAGGTGATGCCCGATCTTTCTGTTTTGAATGTATCTTGCCTCTCCTAGTCATTCCTGTTCTGGCTTTCTCAATGAAAAGCCCTTCTGTATCCATGAGTGTTTTCCTCCCACTGAGAGAACTAATTATTACTCCAGCCTATCAAACAGATTGAGTGCTTTTGTCACTCTAAGTGTTTCTTCCAATGTGGGAAGCATACTGTGAACATTGGACTGTAAGCAGTTGCAGTAACTGCTTTGCCAAATGCCCTGTGCAGAGGTGAAAGCACTTGCCTGCTCCACACTTTCCTGTTTTATAGAACCGAGGCTTACGTTAGCCTTTTCTGGCCACAACATCATACTGGGGAGGAATGGTAACTTTATTGTCTGCTATATTTGCTTTAGACTTGCTTCCCAGGGTACAGCTCTCCACTCTTTGGTCTGTATTCTTGTTCTTATGTTGTATAAATATTTGCTTGAATAGGCCTCACTTGTTAAGTAGGATGAAGTGCCTTATATCATTGTTTCCCAGCAAGTGTACTGTGGAATTTTGCCATGACAATGAGCTACAATAGGTATGAGGGTGGGGAATGCCTTAACAGGTGTGTCATGGAAACATTTTATTAATGTAAGTGTGCCTGGGGTTGGAAAAAGTTGGGAAACACTGCCTTATGACTGCCCTGAATATTTACCAGGTGAGTTTGTCATCTACGAGTTTTACTAGAAATCATGCTTTTTTAAAACTTATTCTTTTCTTTTTACACTCTCAAATCGGTACTACTTCAACAGATAGGGATGCACCAACAAGCTTGGGAGCAGGAGCTTTACTTAGTTGCTTAAAATGTAAGTTTCTAAAGTTTAGGCAGTAGTTTTGGACCAGTGTTGGAGCCTATTGTTTTAAGGACTAAGTGCCTGCCTGGTCTCAAGGAGGTGCTCACATGCTGCCTTGGTACTTGTGCCTGGTGCTGGCCTCTGCACAAGTTTCAGCAGCCTCAGAAATGACCCATGATCTCAAGGGAAGCCCAGAGACTTGCCTACCATGACTTCAATTTTTCTTTCAGTGGTGGGCTCCCTGATGGACTCTCAGATCAGCTGCACCTCTTAGGTATCCGTGGGGCTCCATCTCCCCTACAATCCATGTGCCAGCTTCCAGGATGGCCACTCGGTGTTGGTGTGGCTTGCCCTCTGGTATTGTCTCTCCCTGCTCTCTTCCATTGGCTGGGCTACAGTTGACTCTTCCCCGTTGCTGTCTCTTTGGGACATTGTGAGCTATCCCTGCTCTTCCACTGTGGCTCTGGTTATGACCCAACTGCCTGCCGTGGTCTCCCAGCCAGTCCTCCCCTTGGAGCACTGCCTGTGATCTTGACTCTCACCTCGGGGTCTTTCCAGGTGGTTTCCAGCAGTAAGAGAAAAGGGGGGCAGGGAGGAAGAACTTAGCAGAAAAATGAGGAGTAGAGCTGTGGCCCATCCCCACTCACTGACTCACTGCTGGTGGCCCTAGCAGTTCCCCTGGCATCATCCTGGCTCCCTTCCTTGGTTGCAGACCTCTCTGGTGGGACTGGCATAAAGTCCCTTGGCATCCAACGGCACCACTCATGCCCAGCGTGGGAAGCGCCCTCGCTTTTGGCTCCCCATGGTCTCCCTGGTGCCAGCTTTTATTCCAGCTGGGCTGTGTCTGGGAATGACATTACCTGCCCATGCTGGCATCAACAGACACAGCTCGTGAATTGCACAGGCACTTAGTGCCAGCATGGCTCATCCGTCTTTCCCCAGCCCCTTCAGGGCTTTTCCCACAGGGACGGGCTGCCCCCGTCCCGGATCCTGCTGCGGGAGGGGTTTCTTGTCCCCTGGCAACTGTCCCCCTGGGACAGACAGCAATGAGAAGTCAAGTCTCAAGCATGCATACAAGTGCTTTCTGATGGACATCATTAATTCAGCCCTAGATCTCTAAAAAAGCTTGGATCCTATAAGCACATGTGTTTGCAGTTTGGTTGGTTCTTCTTTTCTTTTGAAAAGGGAGGGGAGGGGAAGGACAGGGTTTTCTGTTTAAAAAATAAAAGCAAATATGAATAGTTCTGTAGTTGTTAAGTCTAATTGCAATGAACTCATTCATAACTTCTTTCAAAGACAACTTCATTATATTCAGGGTTCTCTAGAACTAGAAAAGAATCAAAAGCAATACCTTGTCTAGTACTTTAAGCGTAGGAGCCTCCCCCTATTATTGTACCATAGGAATAACAAATAGTTTTACAAACATAATAGGAAAGGAATTACTTTGGGTATATGGTGTGGTAGGCCAGTAGGGGGGTAATCCTGCATTGAGCCCCCCACCTCATTGCACCCGACCACCTTCCAGACTCTAAGTGCCTCCGTGGGGGTACCTCATGTTTGGCCGACCCCCCCCCGCCCCCCTTCCTGGAGCACACTTTTAAACCTGGGGGTAATATTGACACCTCTAGGCTCTGGATTGATTTTGGCCCTGTACCCCCTGGGAAACACAGGCCTAGTACTCCTTGAGGGGTCCTTGACTCAGTGCAAGAACTTGGGCTGCTTCCCTCAGTCTCAAGTACCAATAGTGGTCTCCCTTAGCTGAACCAAGGGGACCCCAAGGCATAATCTAGACCCTCTCCCAACAAGTCTCCCATGCTAGGTACAGAGAAGAACTTTATCGGTTACAAGGAGTAGATTTGGTATAGGGTACAGCAATATCAGAGAAATACCTTGGAGCAAACAGTGGCATGGTAGCCTTTGATCATGCATCTGAGTTATTGCAAGCTATATATCTAGTTAGATCTCAAGTAGCTTACTCACAAGTATCATCCAGAGGCAGGTGGAGATTTCCCCTGGAGGCAAGCAGTTAACTGAACATGAGTTTCAAGAGACAGTAAGTTTCAGGTAGTCCAGCTTCTCTGAGAGTTCTCCTTATGACTGCTGCCCCATCTCCTGGGCAGTCCTTAACTTGTATATACCTTATGACCTCAATTACCTGATCCAATAAAGGCCAGCAGCTGTTGGCTGCCAGCCAACCAATTTAAAATGCATCACTGGTTGCTGGGTAGACTGGCAGGGCCCCTAGCCTCCTCCCAGTCATGAAGAAATTGCGTAGAACAATAGGGAGTTTAATCTCCCACCCAGGTGTGTGAGGTCAGTCACATAGGCAGAGGGAGCAGGTTTCCCCCTCCCTCAGGAATGTATCCAGCTCTGTTTATAATTCAGGGTTAGCTGAAGCCAATGGGGCCAGCGGTGTCTGCCCTCTGCAGTGACCATGGTAACCAAATTGTTAGATTGGTCACCTGCCTGATAGCAGAGTTTGGGGAGAAACAGAGATGGTGTTCTGCCACAAATGGTTTGGGTGGTGATAGTCTGGTTTATAGTAGTACTTTCAGTGGATCTGATTTCTGCTAGTAAGGAAGAATTTTGCACTGATTTGTAATTTTTCTTTTAATTTCTACCAAGATGTAAAGATTGGGATTTGAGTTGATGGGTTTTTGTTTGTTTGTCTTG